CACTACATTTTAGATCTGGACTGAAAAGTAAAAAATATTTTCTTTACAGTGTGACTCCTGCTGAAATGACTGAGATTTATTTTTTTTTTTTAGCACATTTAATTTGAGTTAACGTCCCAGCTTTGAGTAAACAAAATACACAAACACACAAAAACAGATAGAAAATTTAAGAGGTGGATTCAAACTTTAAAATCTGCTAAATCGTTTATCAAAATCACAAAATTTCATCCTTAAACTGTTCTAAAATCTCTCTTTACTTCGAAGTAGTGATCTTGTGCTTTAAAAGTTTTACTTAAGTAGATTTATTTATTTATTTTTGTGATACTTTTACTTGAGTAATCTTTTGCCCCTGTATCTGTATAGGTTCCCTTTTTAATTGGGGGTCACCTGTCACCTGTTTGTTTCTATGGAGATGTCCTTGTTCTGCCTGGAATGTTCCACAGTATGACATTAAACAGCTCTACCTCCCATTTATTCAGTTAGAGGTGGTCACGAAGCGCTTTGTGTTGCATTTTTGTATGGAAAAACGCTCCATAAATAAAATCTAATTTGTTTTATAGATTAAAAATCATGAGAAAAACAGACATTCTGACTGTGAGCGGGGTCGCCTCTCCACAGATCTGACCTGTAACTTGGCTCTGGATTGGTCTCCATGAAGATAGAAAGCTTTAATGCCATACTGTGAAACATTTTAGACAAAGCAATACAATTTCTATGGAGAAAAGCATTTGACAGACCCTCCAGCAGAAAAGTTACACAATGCAGCTTTAAGATACAAAATTGAGTACTTCCTCCGCCACTTTTTACATCTTATATGAGTTTCAAGATCAACTATACTAAATAAACATAAATTATAAGCAATGTCATTATTTTTTAGCCTATTTATTGTTCAAAACGTCACTGAGTTGAATAAAGCGCTGTTCCTTTGTCCTCATTAGCGAAGGGGGCGGGGCTCTGCTGGAACAGGCCGCACCCCTTTGCACCACAGATTTCAGCTCGAGACCGCTCTCTGCCACCCCATTGGCCGCTCCTGTGCGCCACGTGATCCCTGCCGCCCCTCTAGCCCCGCCCCTCTCCTCTTACTGCCGAAGCTCGCTAAAACCCAGGCGTTTCGACCGAGCTGTTGCGGTTTCACTTTTAGTCCGAGTTAGGCAATAATTACGCTTTTTGTGGACTTGTTGGACTGGTTTAGGTTAGGAATAGACTCGAGTTCAGAAACATTAATGTGAATTTTAGCTATATTAAGCAAAATAAAGGGGAGAAGAACAGAAAAATGGGTAAAGAATAGTAGTGTTGTCATGTTATTATCATTTCAAACTCGATTTCGCTACTAAAGAATTGACTCGTTACTCGGGGTGTAACGATATCCAAGTCTCACGATACGATAACATCACGGTATAAACCTCACGGTACGATATTTAATCCGATATTGTGGGAAATGTTCATGATTAGGGATGTAGCAATATCCAAATCTCTCCCTACGATATTTTCACGATATACATCTCACCGGTACGATATTTATTGCGATATTTTATGGAGACTAAACCGCTAAAACTGTTAATATGCTACTTCTTCCTCTTAAAAATGCCTTGAAAAGACTTAATCCAAAAAACTAAGACTTAAAAGTGCTTAGAACTGTTATTTCTTCTTGTAGTCTGCACTGAAATGGAGCAAAGGATCATGGTCTATGTAGTTCTCTGTTCTTTTTTTAGCTATTTCTGCACCATAACTCTTAATTTAAACAAAGAGACTTGTAATTTTGACATATTGTGATGGTCCATGATATTATTTTGAGAACTTTGACGCTTTGACGATACGATATCACGATATTTTGGTTATTGTTACATCCCTAGTCGTTACTTGGCGCTCGATGCTGATTACGATACCGCAATGATAATAAAATAAAATACAAAAACAGTCTTTATTTGAACAGTACAATGGCGTTTTCAACATTAAATTGTACTTTCTTCTTCTTACTTTCGTTGATATTACTATGTTCGTACAGGTTCATGGGCGTATACTAGTCTGTGGGATACTTCAAGATTCTAAAACTAGTCTCGAAAGGTTCATTTCTGTGCTGCGAAGGTGAATTTTTTAGTAGGTCTGTTGATACTTGCTCAAACGAGTGTCTAGTATCTAGTTTGAGTAACCTTAGATGACAGTGATAGCCCTGATCTCACCTCACAGGGTTACGTACTTGTAGATGCTCTTAGACTTAGGGGCCTATCGATAACAGTTAATAGGCTGTATGTCACAAAATGATCTAGTCTAGAGTTAAAAAGCCCATATTACGCAATTTTCCGATCCGTTATAAGTCTCGTTTCCTCATCACAAACAGACCCGGAGTTGTGTTTTGTTTCATTCACGCATATTTAACACTGAAATCTTGCTTATTTAGGCTGAGTTGTTAGAGAAGAAAGAAAACACCCTGCTCCACCTTGTGATGTCATGTGGTAATACGTGAATTTCTCCATTGTGTTTTTAATTCTGTCCAGTCCAACTTTATTTGTATAGAACATCTGACCAACGCAAAGTCTCCAAAGTGCTGCACATTCAATAAAATAAAGCATAAAATAGATAAATAAATAAGCAAGTCAATGAAAAACGTAAAAAAAATGCTCAAATTAGTCAAGAGAAAATAGAAAATATCAAATCAGTAAAAGACAGTCTGAACTCCATATGCCCTCGCTAGAATCATTAGGATAATTTCACAAATAATTTTCAGGAATTTCCAGTCTTTTTTGAACTCAAAGTAAACAGTAGCTGTTAACTTGAACATTACCACTTCGTGACATCACAAGGTGGACCCATAACAGAGTGTTTTGAGTTTTGGAGATGCAGACAGACTCAAAATACAAGATGCTCAAATGTGTGAATGAAACAAAACACAACTCCAAGTATGTTTTTGAAGAGGTAACAACATTATAACATAACTTAAAGTTAGGGTGACCAGATTTTCAAAATAAAAAACTGGGACACTCTTCATTTTGGGTTTGTATGTAGTAATAAAACTGCAAAACGAGTGCGTAAATAAGGAGAATTGTGCAGTATAATCACTTTTTTGTTTGTTTGTTTGTCTTTTTTTATTAAGGACATCAGAATATAACATTAAAATAAAATACAACAATTAACATTTAACAAATTTAACAATAATCAGCATAAAACAAATCACAAAAACATAAAGCAACACCCACAACAAATAAAAAACAACAACAAAAAAGCCCCCATTTTCCCCCGACCCCAAACACCGACACAAATCTGGCTAAATTAAACAAAAGTAATGTGGTAGTGCAGCATAAACACACCGCTAGACTCCCCTTACATTGACACATTATGGCCAATTCATAATTGAAATTCCTTTTCTCACTCTTAAACTTAAACTAATATTATTTTCACTTTCATTCATAATTTTAAAGGTATTTCATTTTTATTTATTGTAATGGTCACAGGTTTTGACAGCAGACTGTAATGACCTAAGCTGTTCTCATATTTATTTATTTATTTATTTATTCCCATTTTCAAATAAATCTTTAGGATAATTTCAAAAATAATTTTCAGGAATTTCCAGTCTCTACTGAACTAAAAGTAAACTGTATCTGTTTACTTGAAAACTACCTCTTCATGACGTCACAAGGTGGAACAGAGCATAATACAAAATACTCAAACGTGTGAATGAAACAAAACACAACTCCAGGTGTGTTTTTGATGAGGTAACAACATTCTAACTTGACTTAAAGTTATCGTGACCAGATTTTCAAAATAAAAAACTGGGACACTCTCCGTTTGTGGTGGTTGGTAATAATAAAATTGTGAAACAAGTGCGTAAATAAGGAGAATTGTTCAGTATAATCAGTGTTGGGGAGTAACAGATTACATGTACCAGAGTTACGTAATCAGAGTACAAATTATGAGTAACTGTATTCAGTTACAGTTACTGTTTCAGTGAGTGGTAATTGGATTACAGTTACTTTGTTGAAATAAATGGATTACATGGTGATATTTTCCTGTTCCCCCCCAAACTAAACCAGGGGAAACTAAACCAGGTTTAAACTAGATCTAAACCAGGTCTAAACCAGGACTAAACCAGGACTAAAACAGGACTAAACCAGGTCTAAACCAGGACTAAACCAGGACTAAACCAGGACTAAACCAGGACTAAACCAGGACTAAAACAGGACTAAACCAGGTCTAAACCAGGACTAAACCCGGAGTAAACACAGACTAAACCCAAACTAAACCAGGAATAAAACAGGATTTAACAGGACTAAACCAGGACTAAATCCTGCTGTGTGGACGTGTCTCTTCTTCTATCAATAATATTTTTAATACGGTTAAATAAAGTCTAGTCTTTTTATTTTCTTTTATCAGACAAAACATCTTATGTGAAGATTTCCTCGTCTTTGCTTCTCTACAGCAAATCAAGTAATCCAAAGTATTCAGATTACATTACTCACTTTAAATAATTTAATGGATTATGTTACAAACTACATTTTGGTGTATGTAATCTGTAATCTGTAGGGGAATACATTTTAAAAGTAACCTTCCCAACACTGAGTATAATCACATTTTCTTTATGTTTTGGTCATTTTTAAACAGCTTTTACATAAACAAGTGACAATTTATGCGTCTCTTTACTGTTGGCAGGGATCAAAATGGTCAAAACTAGAGACATTTGGGACGCTTTTTGTATAAAACTGGGATAAATCAGTGGTTTTGGATAAATCTGTCAGGACAGGGGACACAGAGCTCAAAACTGGGAGTATCCCGGGTAAACAGGGACGTCTGGACTCTACTTAAAGCTCACAAGAGTCAATTTTACGCACAACAGAACCTTTTAATTGACAGATTGAAGCCTGTGTTGCGCAAACCCCGCCCCGGATCGAAATGCCTAGGCTTTAATCCCCGCCCTTCCTCTCTCCTCGCCCCCTTTCCCTTCTCTCTTTTCCTCCACCGCCCTGCCCTCCGTGCCCGCTCCTCTCTCCTCTCCTCTCTCTTTCGCCTCTCCTCCCAGACAGACCCTGCCCTTGTCGGCTCCCCTCCACCGCCAGCCGCCCTCCGCGCTCCCCCGGTCGCTCTCCGGAGGCTTCCCCCCCGGCGGAGCTCCCTCTGACAATGGGACGCTTTCTTCTCCGCGACCCCTTGGTTTTCCCACGTTGCATTTAAGTGAGTAATATCCGTATTTCAGACTTCACGCTTTTGTTTTATTTTTTGCTTACTCATTTGTCTCGGGGCACGGATCCGAAGCGGCGTATAGCGTCGGGTCCGCGAAAGGTTTACGCGCTGCTTCTTCCAACTACGTGATTTGGTTTGCGTATGAACCCAGCGAGCGTTTTCTGATTCAATCCCCGCATGCTTTTCATTGTGTTATGATAACGATTCTCCATTTTATGTCCCCGGGTATAGGTCCTGTGCCAGTTTTAGCAGGTGGGCATCACTGCAGCATTCGGTAGAGGAGATGGGGCAGGGCGATTACACTGGCGAAGCATCTTTTGTTGTGTTATTATTATCGATGAACTCGAAAAATGCATGTTTAGGGTGACCACACGTTCCTATTTAGCCGAAACAGTCCCAGTTTTGAGCCTTGTGTCTCCTGTTCCTGCAGATTTATTCAAAACCAGTGATTTGTCCCATTGTTTTTTGGTTGTTTTTTTTACAAGAAATGTGCCTGATGTCTCTATTTTTGACAAATTTTATACTTACGAACAGTAAAAAAAAGCATATATTGATATTTGTTAAGCTAAAATACAGAAACGCTGCTTAAAAATGATCAAAATACGTCCCCTGTCCCTGCAGATTTATCCAAAACCGTTGATTTGTCCCAGTTTTTTTTTTTACAAGAAATGTGGTTGATATCTTTATTTTTGACTAATTATAGTTGCGAACAGTAAAGAGAGGCGCGTATTGACATTTGTTAAGATAAAATACAGAAAAGCTGCTTAAAAATAACCAAAGTACGTCCCCTGTCCCTGCTGATTTATCCAAAACCACTGATTTGTCCCAGTTTATTTATTTATTTTTTTACAAGAAATGTACTTGATGTCTCTATTTTTGACAAATTTTATACTTGCGAACAGTTAAAAGAAGCGTATATTGACATTTGTTAAGGTAAAATACAGAAAAGCTGCTTAAAAATGATCAAAGTACGTCCCCTGTCCCTGCAGATTTGTCCAAAACCACTGATTTGTCCTAGTTTTTTTTACAAGAAATGTACTTGATGTCTCTATTTTTGACAAATTTTATACTTGCGAACAGTTAAAAGAAGCATATATTGACATTTGTTAAGGTAAAATACAGAAAAGCTGCTTAAAAATGACCAAAATATGTCCCCTGTCCCTGCAGATTTATCCAAAACCACTGATTTGTCCCAGTTTATTTATTTATTTTTTACAAGAAATGTGCTTGATGTCTCTATTTTTGACAAATTTTATACTTGCGAACAGTTAAAAGAAGCATATATTGACATTTGTTAAGGTAAAATACAGAAAAGCTGCTTAAAAATGACCAAAATATGTCCCCTGTCCCTGCACATTTATCCAAAACCACTGATTTGTCCCAGTTTTTTACAAGAAATGTGCCTGATGTCTCTATTTTTGACTAATTTTATACTTGCGAACACTAAAACTGAAGCATATATTGACATTTGTTAAGGTAAAATACAGAAAAGCTGCTTAAAACGACCAAAATACAAAGAAAATGTGGCTATATTGACTCACATTAGTGCTGAATTGTGCTTAATTATGCACTCATTTCACAATTTTATTATTACCGACCACTCCTAACCGAGAATGTCCCAGTTTTGTGGTCACCCTAGATGTATTTTTATTTTTGTGTAGCGTCCAGTTGAATTTTAGGGTTTGGCATTGTCTCGTGGTCGCTCAAGTCAACGCGACATCCCACTCTTTGGTTGACAGATGGCTCAGTTGTGGTGTATTGATTCGGCTTTTGTTCCTAAAGCCGGCTAGATTTCACATTCGCGTGTTTGATCGGCGTGGATTTACTGTGCCGTGCCATGCCAGGTCACCACGAGGCTGCAGACAGTCGTTAAGTGGAAGTGGAAGTGGATGTGGATGCTGCGTGCGCCTCGTATAGGGTAATGTATGGACGAGCGGGTTTACGGTGTGAACCTATATGTGCTGATTGTGTTTTATTGACCGGCGTGCAACATCAGGGTCATGCTGATAAATAAGTAATAAATTGTAATGCTTAAAAACGTCATGACATCATTGGTGGACATCCCAAGTGACACATAATTCTGCGTAATTCATTTTTTATCTGTGGGTTGTGGTGTTGTCATGATACTTGATTTCAGTGCTAAGGAATAGACTTGATACTCGATAAAATACAATCTTTATTTGGATAATAGGATGTGATTTTGAACATTAAATCGTAGTTTTTATTTAAGAATAAATCAGCCTTAGAGTTGTTGTTAGTAACAGGGTTCCCACGGTCATGGAAATCCTGGAAAAGTCATATAAATTTGTAAATTCAATGAAAGTTTTGGAAAAGTCATGGAATTTTAGTATCTCTTTCACACAACTCCAGCATTTTTTGTTAAGTTGTCACTGAGCTATTATGACGACAATAAATGCACTGACAGTATTTTGAATGTTAAATGAGTGGAAAGGGTTAACATTTCATATTTATCTAAAAGTATGGTCAATTCTGCACACGTAGGTGCTGTAAAGTCATGGAAAATTCACCTTAGGTCATGAAAAAGTCATGGAAAAGTTTTGAAATTTTGTTAGTGAAAAAGAGTGGGAACCCTGTAGAAAACGAATCTATGTGTCATTCGTTCATTCGTTTTTCAATATAAAAACTAAAATAAGAAAATGAAAAAAAAGAAAGAAAACTATTTCTTTATTATTTGTCTTCAAAACTAAAATGAAAAAACAGATAACGATTTGTTTTTTTTGGTTTTTTTCAGTTTTCTATTTTGTGTTTCAATGAATAATGGAAAAAACGGATAATGGATGTTTCCTGTTTCTATGACTTAAACTGTGATGCCGGACTAAACCAAGACTGAACCAGGACTAAACCAGGACTGAACCAGGACTAAACCGGGACTGAACCAGGACTAAACCGGGACTGAACCGGGACTGAACCGGGACTAAACGGACTGAACCGGGACTAAACCGGGACTGAACCGGGACTAAACCGGGACTGAACCGGGACTGAACCGGGACTAAACCGGGACTGAACCGGGACTGAACCGGGACTGAACCGGGACTAAAACAGGACTAAACCAGGACTGAACCAGGACTAAACCGGGACTAAACCGGGACTGAACCAGGACTAAAACAGGACTAAACCAAGACTAAACCAGTTCTAAACCATTTTCAGTCCCGGTCTGGTCCCAGTCTCAGTCCTGGTCTGGACCCGGTCTCAGTCCCAGTCTGGTCCCGGTCTGGTCCCGGTCTGGTCCCGGTCTCAGTCCCGGTCTCAGTCCTGGTCTGGACCCAGTCTCAGTCCCGGTCTGGTCCAGGTCTGGTCCCGGCCTCAGTCCCGGTCTCAGTCCTGGTCTGGACCCGGTCTCAGTCCCAGTCTGGTCCCGGTCTGGTCCTGGTCTGGTCCCGGTCTGGTCTCGGCCTCAGTCCTGGTCCTGTCCCCGGTCTCAGTCCTGGTCTCAGTTCTGGTCTGGTCCCGGCCTCAGTCCTGGTCCCGGCCTCTGGCCTCAGTCCCGGCCTCAGTCCCGGTCTGGTCCCGGTCTAAGTCCTCGTCTTAGTCGTGGTCTGGTTCTGGTCTGGTCCTGGACCTGGTTTAGTCCTGGTTCAGTCCGTATGCAGCTCAAAAGTCCAGCATCGCAGTTTAAGTCTTGTAAACGGGAAACAACCGTTACCTGTTTTTTCCATTATTCATTTAAACACAAAATCAAAAACTGAAAAAATGAATCATTATCTCTTTTTTTTTTTTTTTTTTTTTTTCATTTTGATTTTGAAGAAAAATAATGAAGAAAATAATAGTTTTTTGTTTTTTTTTCGTTTTCTTATTTTTGGTTTTATTTTGAAAAACGAATGAACGAATGATACACGAATTGAAAAGCTGTACTTGATTTGTTTTGATTTAGTCTGCTTCACACCTCGTACGCATGATTGCTTTAAATATTTTCTTTAATACAATGATAATTAAACAAATGTAACGAGCTGTTGATTAAAACCTGTTTGCTCGGCGGTTTTAGGTGTTCCTTAAAAGTAACTAACGCCCATTGAAAGTGGACTGATGAAGAGGAAGAGATAGGCATCGGCTTTTCTCTTCACAGAACAGCGCACACCGGCCCTCTGTAGATAAAAGTCAGTCATGTGGAGCGTGAAACAGTGAACCTGCCTCTGGTTTAACTGGATTGAACACCTCAGTACACTGCAGGTATCTCACATTTGCACAATTGTTACTGTTAAGTGAAGTCAGAGTAAAACAGGCTCTAGAAATGAACAAATAAATGAAGAAATCAGGTTAAAAAACGAGTATAAAATGAAAGTATTAGTAAGTAAAGTAAGTATAATACAGATGTTCGAATTTTAGAAGCATATTCTAACAAAAGTATGTGTAAATATCTTAAGAATTTTTAGAAATCGTTTATATTTACTCGTTGAAATTGCAACATTTCCTCTAACCATGACGGTAACACTTTATTTAAATATTGTGAAATCCCTGATGATGGATTCAGAGCAAAATAAAGTGTGGCAGGAGAGAGAAAAACACGGACCTGCAGGCGCTCTGACCTTTACCAATCTGCAGCATCTTTTGTGCCAAGAGACAGGAGCAGGAGACAGGTGTAGCAGACCAGGAGACAGGGAGACAGGAGAGACAGACAGTGACCAAGAACAGACCAGGAGACAGACAGCAGAGACAGAGACAGGACAGGAGACAGGTGACAGGACCAAGACCAGAGAAGACCAAGCAGGACAGAGCAGGAGACAGGTGTCAGGAATAGACCAATACAGACAGGAGACAGACAAGACAGGACCAGGAGACAGGTGAACCAGACCAAGAAACAGGACCAAGTCACCAGGACAGACCAGGAGACAGTGACCAGACCACAGGAGACAGGACCAAGTCACCAGGAGACAGGACCAAGACCAGGAGACAGGACCAAGTCACCAGGAGACAGGACCAGGAGACAGGACCAGGAGACAGGTGTACCAGACCAGAAGATAGGACCACGAGAC